TAATGTGACCACATTCCACCAGCGGTGCTTTTTTCCCTCTTTCTTGCCCTCTCTACCTCTGGCAAGCACACCTTCTAGCAATTAAAAAAATATGTAAGAATATATGAATTTATAGGTGTAATTTGACAAATATGTACAATGACAGATATATATAAATGTATATATGCACATACATTTTTTTTTCTAGCTCTGAATATTAAGAAGGCCCAGAAACAATGCAGCGAGCACAAAGATCACCCAGATCCTTGTTTCTAAATCCTAAGAAGTTCATGGAGAAATAACTGACTGCAGGGCTGGAGCAGGGACAGTGAAATGAGGAATGTAAGGAAAAGCACAGGCAACCAAAATCGGGTCAGAAGGACACAGGAGTCAGCCTGAAGCACTCCCACTGGCCAAATGTGAGGTGATCTGTGCATCTAAACAGTAAGTGGTGGTAGGAGCTGCAGCAACAGGCTCGCACGACAATCCACCGGGTAAAACAGACATCCGCCAGTCTATAGCGATGGACGTACATGCGGGGGAAGGAAAAGCACTCCCTCCAGACGGAATTCTAACTAATGCCTGAGGCATGCATTTGTATAGTTCATGATCAGTACCAAAAAAATGGTTTTTACATTTTTAAAGGGTTATCAAAAACAAAACAATAAGCAACAAGAACTATCTATGGCCTAAAAAGCCCCAAATATTTATTATGTGGTTATTTCTTCATAGAAAATATTTCAAACCCCTAATGTAAAAGGCATGATGCAAACGATGATCATCACATGTCTGGTTCGATTAGGAGTCAGTGGGTGCTAGAGAGGTTTAATGAGAAAATATCAAACAAATCCAGGTTGAGGCTCACTCTATTATAATAATAATAATAATAATGATAATAATAAAGAAGCTACACTTTTTTTGAGAGAGAGGTTTTTGCTATAGGGCGCGTGCACTTCCCAGACAGAGAGAGACAGAGAGACAGAAAGCGAGAAATCACCCTCTGGGGGGATGGCCATGCCGCAATCCCTCCTCCTCCATTCTTCTCCCGGGATCCTGGGCATGCACACACACGCACCTGGCGTGAGTTTTAAGCCACCAGGTCTGAGATACGAACCACGCAACTACATGGGAGTCCAGTGACATAGCCACTATGCTAACTGCTGGTCCCAAGAAGCTACACTTTTTTAAATTGTTGACCCAGTTGCCATGGTGCAATGGTAAGAGGAGCATCCTGCAAGGCTAGAAACTACTTGGCCAACTGTGGGTTCAGATTCGAGGCTGGTTTTCCTTTTCATTTTTTCAAGAAAAATTTTTGCTATAGGGCATGTGCATTCACTGGACAGACAGAGAGAAAATGAGAAATAACATCCACCCCCCCCACCGCCGCCGCCCCCAGTGCACAAATGGCCATGCCACAACCCCTTCTCTTCCATTCTCTTCTTGGGATTTTGGGCGTGCATACACACCTGGTTTGAGTTTCAAGCTGCTAGGTCCAGGATTCAAATCACAGTCAGTCATGTGGGAGTCCAGTGCTTTAACCACTACACCACCTACTGCCACCCCCCACTCCTGGCTGATTTAAAAACACATCAGGCTTACTTGCATGCAGGTGCACAGAATTTTAAAGAGCTAGGGAAAGGACACTGTGCAATGAGGAGACTCCATTGAGGGTGCTTTTCACTCTCTCCCCCCACCTGTATGTGCTCTCCACCATAACAAAACAAACTAACAAAAACACTTAAAATTGTAAATGATGGGTCAGCCCCACAGCTGAGTAAAGGGACCCAATTCCCATATGGTCATCCATGGTTCAAATCCCTGCTCCAATGACTTGAAAGACATGCTGGGTGTGTGTATGCACATGCCGAAGATCCCAGCAGGATGGAGAAATGGGAAAGGAAGGTTGTGGTCACCACTGAGGAGTGCTTTCTCCTTCTCCCTCTTCCCCGTCTCCTTTCCCTCTCTGTTCCTCTGTCCTTCTCTAACAAGCATACCTGCCCTCTGGCAATGAAAACAAATTGTAAATAACATGAATTACACAAAGACGGAAGAACTGTTTTAGACTGGAGGAGACTGAAGGACCATGGAACCAAAATACAGTAAAATACATGATTCTGAATAGCATCCTGGGGCAGAAAAGAAACAGAAAGATGTTGTTAGGACAACTGACAAAATTTTAGGGAAAAAGTAATGATTCAGATAAAGGCAAAGAACAAAGTATTTATAAGAAGCCCAAGAGGAAGGATGCAGGTTTGATGAGTCAGATGAAGAAAGGAGGGGCTAGAAAGTATGAGACTTTGGTGAGAAAAACTGGAAAACTTTTGCCAAGGGAAAAAAAAAAAAAACTTGCTGAGTATAAAAATGAAAATAACATAAACCTAATTAAAGCAAGACAGATTTTTTTTTCAAAGACCCAGGATTAAAAAGGATGCCTGAAAATATGATTTAAAGATGCTCCAAGAGAGTTCACTAGTGTACTTTGTAACTCTTTTTGATGGTTTCTCTGTAGTTATGAATACCATAATTAGTTATGGGTTTTTGTACTTTTAAAAACATGTGGCTCCTCAAAGGGTATGTGTGTGTGTGTGTGTGTGTGTGTGTGTGTGTGTGTGATGGTTGCTATGCAGCTGTGCAGCACACAGTGACATTTCAGTTAACGACAGACTACATAAACAATAGTGGCCCCTTAAGATTATAATAGGTATGCTATTCAGTGAAGACACGTAGTGAGCTATACCAGCTAGGTTTGTGGAGTTCAAACAATGACAAAGTCATCTAACTCACTTCCCAGAACATACCCCTGTTGGTAAGCAACACATGACTGTATATCCCTTCTTAATGACATTCAAGAAACAGGATTTTGGGAACCAGCAGTTAGCGTACTGGCTATGTCGCTGGACTCCCACGTAGTCCACCGCGGTTCGCGTCCGGGACCCGGTGGCTTAAATCTCACACCGGGCACGTGTGCGTGCGTGCCCAAGATCCCGAGAGGAGAATGGAGGAGAAGGGATTGTGGCGTGACCATCCCCCCGGGGGGTGATTTCTCGCTTTCGGTCTCTATGTCTCTCTCTCTCTGTCTGGCGAGCGCACGTACCCTATAGCGAAAATCTCTCCAAAAAAAAAGAAACAGGATTTGTAGCCCTTTATCTTCAAGATTATATGGGTAATATAAGAACTAGGAATATCCATAAATAGCCACAGGATTTAGCAACATAAGCATCATGAGTGACGTTAGCAAGATCACTCAGTGCTCTTTAAGGGACAGACACCAGATTTGATTGAGGAGCAAACGAGGGGCAGAAAGGAATAAAGAGGTATGGCTATGAAGGGGGGACATGCCACCTCATGACATTCTGAAGTATTTGTAATGTGTCCTCTTCTCATTTTTTTTTCCCAAATGGGACATTAAAGAATACCTGAGGGGCCGATCCCTCGGCCTAGTGGTTGGGGAACTAGATCCCACATGGCTGAGGTGGCTCTGTCACGTGATAGGTAGTGCACTGGGCTTCTAGATCCCACGTGGCTGACCATGGTTCAAATCCCAGCCCCAGGGGCTTGAAGAATGTGCCAGGCATGTGTATGTGTGTATGTGACCCAAATCCCAACAGGATGGAGAAACGGAGGACGAAGGATTGGGACCATGTTCCATGTTCCTTAGAGGCTGCTTTCTTCTACTCCCTTTCTCTCTGCCTCTCAATCTCTGGCAAGAACACAAGCCCTTTGGCAATTTAAAAAAAACCTGAATGTTGACTAAAAGGATCAAATAGAGAATGCAAGACTCAAGATTTAGAAAAGAACAGAAATAATCATTTGAGTGAAGTTCCCAAGAAGAGACCAGGAAGAAAATATGGAGAAACATGACGAGGTTTTAACTATGACAGGAGAAGGGACAGCTCATCAACTGTATGGGTAGGAAAAGGATTGAAAGTGGATGGCTGCACATGTAAATCAGTCTACGAAGGACCAGCCCATGGCATGGTGGTTAAGGTAGCTAGACCTCTATGCTCAAATACACGTTTCAAGACTCAGACCAAGTGGCCTAAAAAATATGCCAGGCATGTGTGTGTGTGTGTATGTGTGCCCAAAATCTCAAAAGGGAAATAGAGGGCAAGGGATTGAATGCGGTCATCTCCCATGTGGAGTGCTTTCTCACTTTCTCTCTCCCTCCCAACGAGCACAAATGCCTCTAACAAAATTTAGGGGAAAAAAAAAATCAGTCTATGGTAGAAGAAAGTTAGGATCATTTCCACTGGATGTCTTCATTTCTTTCTGGGCAGTAGGGGTAAAGGCATTTAGCGAGAACACAGACTGAACATGTGACAGAGGATTAAGAAAAGAGGACAGGGTACAAAACTATCAAAGGAAAAAGCACAAGAATGAGCTGACTAGACAAATACAGAGAGCTCGCCAAATAATGCTGGGAGTCCAGATGAGATCAGTAATCAACGGGGAGGGGGAGGCATTTCAATAAATCATATGAGAAAGACTCGCATTTGTTCAACAGAGTATTAAATTGATACAACCATGTTAACCATCTTTGTAATAAACATCATTTACACCAAGTCATTATAATCGCATGAGCAAAATAAACAACCAAACAAAACACTAAAACTGCAAAACCACCGGGGCCTGAACATTAAAATGTATTTACCTGAGCCACATGATAAACCCATTTAACACAAAATCTGAATAAGCTGAGTCAGAAAACACTAAAAATATAACATCAATTCCTGTATCCGATCTACTGCCACAGTTTTCCACTGTCACTTTCAAACGATTTTTAAACTATAATGCCATCAAGCTTTGAGGTCCTACTGAAATCAAGTGACAGTCCCTAGGTCTCCCAGCTCCAGTTTTAGAAGTTCTGCTTTAGGAGAAAGTCTAGTTATTGTTCTCACCAACTATTACTCTGAGATCTGTTTCCTACTTATTCAATTAAGTTTACTTTTATGCTGGGACATTTCTTCAAACTTGGTGTTTAAATACACCAATATGTAAGCCCAAAAGATGCTCCAGCTTACCGATATTGCTGTTATCCTAAGGGAATCAACGGTGGAATGTCTGAATAGGTACCATAAAACAGGTCCAATTTCTCCAGTAATAAAGCCCTGGGCCTGAGCAGAAAAAGTAGTGCAGACGTTTTCAATAATCTTCGCTGCCATGTGATTCACGACCCGTTCTTCCTAGAGAGAGGGAGCAGAGGATAGGAAATTAAAAGCATGTTCATATTTTGCCGGGAGCCGTACCCCCAGCCGGGGTGGGTGCACAGGGAGGCGACGCGGGTGAACAGGAATCAGACTAAGACCTCATGCCCTTAGCATGTTCTTAAAATTCCTGGAGACCCTCTCATTTGAAGACCCTCCCTGGCAATCAAGATCTAAAAAGAAGATGCACCCAAAAAATAGACTTCCTCGTTCTAAAAATTATGACTGTTTATACCTAAACAAAACGGACGTCATGTTTTATGATTATTGATCCTATACTTTGAATGCCTTACCTTTTAGAGCAAAATGTTTCACTTACTTCCCCTCACCCATCCCACTGCTGTAAAACTCCTTCTATAATAAATACGCATGACTTCTGGCCATCAGGGCGGCAGTCTGGAGTTTACTCTGGCTGCAGCCGGCTAAGAACATGCTAAGGGCATGAGGTCTTAGTCTGATTCCTGTTCCCCCACGTCGCCTCCCTGTGCACCCACCCCGGCTGGGGGTACGGCTCCCGGCAATATTTGGTATAGGGAATATGAGTATGTCATTTCTTCATAACCATAGCAAATGATGTTTTAATAACCAAGACTACATCATCTGCCCCTGAATGTGTTAGGAATCTTGGCAGGTGTAGTAACGCTTTCACATTAATATGAAATTATTATAAATAATCATTTGATTATTCACTAGCAAGCTAATGCATACCAATCATCCACAGTAGAAAGAACCACCTAAATATGCGAAATTAAGCAGAGTTCCAAGAAAAGTATTGCCTCAGTGATATGATCAAATTAGACAAAGCTATTTTGGATCATTTTACCAGTGCCTGTAGTTAACTTCAAAAGGATCAAACTGTTTTCAGGTTACATAAAGAAGTACAAAAAGAGGGGACCAGTAGTTAGCGTAATGGCTATGTTGCTTAACTCCCACGTAGCCGACCGCTGTTTGAGTCCCAGACCCGGTGGTTTAAAACTCACGCCGGGCGCGTGTGCGTACATGCCCAAGATCCTGAGAAGAGAATGGAGGAGAAGGGATTGTAGCATGGCCATCCCCCTGGGGAAGTGATTTCTCGCTTTCTATCTCTCTGTCTCTCTCTGTCTTTCTGGTGAGCGCACGCACCCTCTATAGCAAAAACCTCTCAAGAAAAAAGTACAAAAAAAAAAAAAGTATTTAAAGGAATACACAAGACTTAAGAACTCAACAAAATAAAAGTCATGATGCCTTATATCTAATTAAATTTACTAAGCATGCAAAGCAGCAGGAAAATGGGACTCATAATTAAAAATTCAATCCATAAAAATAATAGATTTAGTAGAAGATATTAAAATGGCTATTATAAACAAAGTCCATATATGTAAAAAGGAAGAATGTAAAAAGGAAGAAAAAACAGAAGCAGAAGAAGTAAAAGCATAGGAAATATACAAATAACACAGGTCAGAAGTATAGGGATAAATAATGCAATGCCTAATCTAAAAAAACACACTGAATGACCGGTTAGGATTCACAAATTAAGACAGCACAAAATTGAAGATATAACAATTAGCAATAAAAACTATTCAAAAATAAACATAGAAATAAGATGTTAAGAAACAAACAGAGCATTAGTGAACTGTGGAACATCTTCAAAAGACCTAATATCTGTACAATTAGAATCCCAAGGGCTGCGGTGGGGCAAAAATATCCTTGAAATATTGGCTAAAAATTGAGGGTATTTGGATTGATTAGGGTCTTTGATGATTCAATAAAATGTGGGGGGGGGAAGAGTATAGAAAGCAAACATAG